TCAATGATCAAGATAAACCTACAATCATGTACAAGTCATCGCACACAATACAACCATACTCAATATCTATGCTACCATCAATTTTACACATTTCATTCGGTCAAAAGAAACTAAAATTTTTATCCTGTTACTCTACACACTAAATTCGGAAGCCAACAACTTCGATCCGGACTCCCTCCCTACATCATATGTAAAGAGAAAAGAGTGAGTTCATTTAACCCAGTACAGTAAAACTCAAAATACAGGTGTGAAATGCAACAATATAAACCTCATGCCTCTATCAACAGTTCACTACTGAACCCCAGTTCCCCCCCCCCCCCGTACCTACAATCCCACCTACCCAGGGTTTCTGTTCCCCGACAGCACCCCAGGCGTGCCAGTGATACCACCCACTGGCAAGGTCGGCGACCATTAACCACCTATCAACTCCTATTGGGCCACGCACGCACACTATTTTTCATTCATTTTCGTCACCAACTTCGCGACCATCACTCCTCTGCCGACCCTTATCGGGCCACACACACACACTCTAATCATTCTCTCCTGTCACCACCATCGGCGACCATTAGCCATCTCTCGACCTATACCATGCCACTCACACACACTCTGATCATTCTCTCACGTCACCAATATCGGCGACCACTAGCCATCTCTCGACCTATACTAGGCCACGCACGCACACCATTTTCATTCACTTGCATCACCAACATCGGCGACCATTAGCCATCTCTCGACCTATACCAGGCCACTCACACACACTCGGATCATTCTCTCCCGTCACCGATATCGGCGACCACTAACCATCTCTCGACCTATACCAGGCCACGCACGCACACCATTTTCATTCACTTGCGTCACCAACGTCGACGACCATTGTCCACCTATCGACCCCTATCGGGCCACACACACACACTACTCATTCTCTTCCACTGCCCCTCTTCGCCCACTACCTGCGACATGCCCTAGGTGCCCCTACTCACACTGTCTTTCCCCCGCCGCCTCAAACTCTACTCATGCGGCCCATATTTTCTCTCTCTTCCCACCCCCCTCCCCCGTCCTGCTTTCTCCCAAAGCTCCAATTACCCCACTCCACTCCCTCAAGCACCTTACTCACCCCGCGGATCCTTCCCTTCCCCAGCGTTCACTCACTGCCTCTCCCTATCTCTCTCTCGGACCACATCCTCCCACCACAACATCTTTCTATCTCCTCCCGCGTTACTCACCCCACCTGTTGCCTCTCCCACAGCTCACTAACCTTACACCTCTTCCTCTCTCCTCCTGCGTTGCTCACACAACCCGCTCACTCTCACACAGTTCACACACATCTTCCTCTCCTCCCCCGTGTTGCTCACACAACATGTTCCCTCTCACACCGCTTATTAACCTCACACATCTTCCTCTCTCCTCCTGCGTTGCTCACACAACCCGCTCCCTCTCACACAGTTCACACACATTTTCCTCTCTTCCGATCTCCACTCACTCCACACTCTTATCTCTCTCTTGGCCTTCGCCCGTACCGTCACCTTCTCCCTCTCTCCTCCCGCAATTCTCACGCGGCCAACTTCCTTCCACCCGCCT